TCACGGGGATAACAAAACTTAATATCACGGACAATGCTGTTGAAACTACTAAGCTGAATTTTCTATTTTTTCAACCTTCGCTGATGTATCTTACTCTTCCTGGTCCCTTTCTTGCATTCAATGTTGTTTGATGAAGTGTCATTTTCCTTGGCAAACATGTCTAGGTGCATTTAGTTGGAAAGGATGAAACACGCGACTCGGGCAATTTCAGCGACTTCTGAAAACACAAGTAATATTAATCCTTAATTTTACTGAGCCCCATGCAATTATCTATACGAATCGATAAGGGCCTAAACGAAAATGATCACCCTGACAGCCACCTACCCGTCTGTCTGTCCCACACAAGGGTAACAAATGAGGGTGGCGCCACCCTCATTTGTTACCCTTGTGTGGGACAGACAGACTGGTAGGACTGGGTCTGGATGATACCGAGTGCAGGGGAGAAGTGTTGGAGGTCTGGGCGTGAGTGCATGGTAGAATGTCTAAATTCACTGTTTTACGACCTGTAGTTGAGCATTATTTTGTCCTTGTGTGAAGCATAGACGCGAAAATCATTCGTCGTATCGTTTTTAACTTCTCATGGTTTCTTCTCGGACGACTGGTAAGTGACTTCTTGGGTTTGGAGCCAGTATTCGAATTCGTTTGATGCATGAAATTACTTCGATCTCGTGGCGGAACCTCTTAAGAGCGTTCTGCACACTTTTGTTAGGTTTTTTGGTATTTCATTGTTAATTTATGGTTTTCTTTGATACATATTTTTCCGTATTTATGTTTATAATTTGCTTATTTTTCGGCCCAAGGTGATCAGCAAGCAATATTTCAGACCAATCCATAGATCGACACTATTTTTGACAGAAAACAGCATGAAATTACACGCGGTACATGCACAGTCTGCACGCGTTTATTGTACATTTTTACCTACGGTTCTTGATATAATTCTACCACCTCACCAGAATGGTACTTGATGCTGTCTTATAGGTTTTTTTTGTTAATTAATTCCAATGGTAGCTTATTTTGAGATCTAACAGAGCTCCATATTTAGACAGTAAGTCGTTAGGCCTACCCATACTTGCACCGTTAGAAGATACATTTTATTTATTGTTTTTATTTATATTTTTTCTTTGGTTAAAAGAGAGATTGTTATGATCAATTGCCCTATTCTTCCTTACATTTATGGACTAGAGAGCCTGGATACATGGGATCTGCTACATGTTCTCGCCTCCCTTCCTTACCCCTCCCCCCTTGAAAGACTTGTGATCATAAAATTGAGATATTTTGGGAGAAATATGTCTCAGTTTGATGTAGAAGGTTTCACTCAAGGTGCATACCTTTCCACCTTGTTAAACAAATGTAAGTAAGAGAAGGGTGGGTGGTTTATCTGAAAATCTGTTTGTGTGGCCCATGACTTACTCAGGGTTGTTGTTAAGTGCTGGTAGCCAGCAAAATTCGCCGGCTGAGAAAGAGGCAGTTGCTGGCTGAATTTTTGCTGGTAATCACTCGACAGATGAGTCTTGATTTTTGTACAGTTTAAATGGAAAAAAAATACCTTTCCATTTGAAAACTATATCTAAGCTGCAGAATTATTAAGGTGAAATGAAGTGTTGCTTTGAATTCACTGGTCTTAACTGATCTGTAGTGTCTCTCTCTCTTTTGGATCACCATTTTGCAAACTTAAAGCTTGGTAGCCTTACAGACAAGATGTTGCAAACGACTGGACACACCCGGCTGAATGGCTTCCTCAACCAGCAGGCCATTTTCTTAGCTATAACGCTGCTTTCTCATCTGTTACAATAGATAACTTACCTAAGTAAAGATATTTTTGAGATGCAGACAGAAACTGGAAGAAGAGTGAAAATAATTTCTGGTGTGCTTGGCATAAATGGATCAACTATAAGGTTGTTGTTTTAGCATTTCAAACCAAATTGTGCTGAGCAAAAAGGTAACACAAGCACTGGATATGAGAACTTTTAACTTTTTGCTTCTTACTGTTTTATATGAACACTTGCACTCTAACTGTATGAAGTGGGGAAGGAGCAACTGAGAACCCTTCTATCACCTCATGTATTACTAAGTAATGGTGGCATATAACACAGTCTGAATAACTCAGAGTATTTCCTATCTGCTTACAAGAGATGTTGAATTTCTATTGAATATTTTAAACCTGGCAACATTCTTCTGTTGTTTTTTTCTTTTTTAGTTCACCGCTACATGGTATTAATACACATCGAGTAACTTAAGTATAAAAGCTCCGATGGAGACAACACTATGGTTCCTGTTACTGCTTCTCTATTGGTTGAGGCTTACGTCTTGTGAATACATTATCCAGACTTTTGATGGAGAAATTGGAGCCGGAAATTTTACCTATTTTACCTTGAAGAAAGAAGGAGAAGTAACTTTGATCCTTGAGAGCATAGAGGGCGATGCTGATATCTATGTTTCACAAGTGAATCTAAAGCCAGATTTTGAAGATTATGATCTCAAGTCTGCAACTTGCGGCGAAGACATTGTTACAATTCCCGGCACTTACAAGAGACCGATTGGAATCTCAGTGTTTGGCCACGTACATGCCCCTATATCTAGATACACTATGAAAGTGATAATGGACTATTCATCTGGAGATGAGAGTGAGAGATATCACGGTGACAGTGACGAGGCAGAGGAATCACTTATTTGGACAGTATTTGTCAACATTTTGAAGCTTATTCTAGAGATTCTTTTGTGAGCAGAGTGATTGAAGGTTTCCTTTCACAAGAACAGAAATTATTGTTCTCAGTTTTTTGGCAATTTATGAATATTACCTTCTTTGCGTCAGTTCACTGGAGCTGTGTGACCTTGCCTTTTGACCTCAGTTGGAGAGAAGGCTTGTTTGCAAGCAGAAAAAGACTTATGAAGCCTTACAATAAAATCAGCTTTATATGATTTCCGGTCCTTGTAAAATTACCAAAAGATGGACATATGTTTTGTTCAAAACAAGACAATTTCAGTGGGTAAGGTTAGGGATAATTAGTTATGGGGTTAGTATCTGAGCATGATAACCCTTTAACTCCCGAGATCTGATTGTTAATTCTCCCCTCTAGCTGCTATACACTTCTCTGTTAATTAGTTGTGAGAATTTGGTGCTAGATCAAGATAACAACTTCCACCTGATAACTTTAAGTATTCTCATTATCTGTCTGCTGGATAAAGTATGAATATCATGGGGAGAAGTTACATGTTAATCACTTCAGGGAGTTAAAGGGTTGAGAGCAGTTTTCAGTTGAGTGTTAAAGATAATCTGGGATTTCTTTGTTTTTGCTTTATTTCAATCTTTGATTGGTCCAGAACCAGATCTGTGGTCTAGCAGTGCCTGGTGACCCCTGGCGCCTTACTTTTGCTCTTAGGCGACTCAAGAATCTTATTTTTTTTTTTCATAAAAAGCATATGCTGGGCACCCTGGATTTAACAGTTTCAGAGTACTGGGCTGCCTTCAATTTTTCGTAAAGCACAGCCTTGCAGAACACTTGCGCTACTCTCTCAACCAATTGTGCCCTGGTTGCCTGCATTTTCCCACGCTTTAGACAGTTTGATTGTTTTTACTTTGAGTTTTTATTGGCTCTTTAAAGTGCACCTAAACCCAAAATTTTTTTTTTGCTTAACGAAATAAGCTTATTTTTTGGAGTATTTATGTGCAAAAATTTTTTAATTTGCTCAAATCTTTAATTTTCTATGCCCAGTCAAAATACGGAAAATCGGCCGCCATCTTGCCCCACGACCGAGTTTAAAGAAGAATGGCTCTAGCGGGTAATGTGACGTCAAATCGAGAACACGAAAGTCTGCATCTCACACATTTTCACTTGTTTGGGAAGATTGTCGTCGATATTGTCCGAAATATGCCGACTAGGTGTGTTGTATGAAGAATGTATGAAGCGCGATACCCTCTTGCAAATTTCGCACGTTGCTACATCCTTCTACAACACACTTAGTCGGCATATTTTCGGACAATTATCGACTACAACCTTCCCAAACAAGTGAAAATGTGTGAAATGCAGACTTTCGTGTTCTCGATTTGACGTCACATTACCC